GAGGTGGGGGGGGGGGTTAAAGAGCAACCAAAGGACTTGTATGCATGCATATTAGCATCACCAATGGACACAGACACTGGGGCGGTGGGGACTGGCCCAGGGTGGGAATGGCTGCGGGGCGGAGGGGGGAGAGCAACTGGGGGAAAAGGAAACACATGTAAAAATTTAAACAATAAAAAAAAGAAAATACATATTTAAAAAAAACCTGATTTCCCTTCTTGATAAATAGTCAACTTTGCAAACCATACCTTGCTAAATAAAATACGTTGTTACCTTAAGGAAGTTTGGATTATGTGGAAATACACATTTCACTGGTTAAGATTTACCTTTTAAAAATGTTAACGCCTGGTGTCCTAGTAAGAGAGCAGGTGGGTTTTCGTGCACAGGGGCTGCCACCCCACACAGGGACTGAAGAAGCAGGCCCCTCCTTGGAGGCCCACAGCTCGGGTTCCTGCAAGGCCTCTGTGCCCTCCAGCTACAAAAGTCACAACGTCCATTCTTTAGGCCCAGGTCATGCGGCCATTGTGTATTTTCTACCTGAATGGTGAGCTGTGAGCTGTTCCCATGAATCCCAATAAGACACAAGGCCAAAAAGTGGGGGTCTGTACCCAGGGCCAATGAAATCTTGTGCGCCAGCCCCTAACTGGGGGTTCCCTATTCCTGCCCCCACCACTCTGACCTTCCCTGTGGAATGGGGGACTCACCCAGGTGGGTGTGCCCCCTCTGCTCCTTCCACTGTGGCCAGTGAAAGGCAAGGCAACCACAGACAGGATCCAATTTGTCACCAGTTTACTACCCCAATGCCACCCCCGCCCCCAGCTCAGAAATGGGAAGCAACTGAGCAGTTACGTTTTAGATCACATAGGGCCGTGGTCGGCAAACTGCGGCTCGAGAGCCACACGCGGCTCTTTGGCCCCTTGAGTGTGACTCTTCCACAAAATACCATGTGCGGGTGCGCACGTACAGTGCGATTGAAACTCCGTGGCCCATGCGCAGAAGTCGGTATTTTGTGGAAGAGCCACACTCAAGGGGCCAAAGAGCCGCATGTGGCTCTCGAGCCACAGTTTGCCGACCACTGACGTAGGGGATTGAAATGGTTCCCAGACCACGGACTCCGAATTTCTGCCAGCCCGGAAATGAAGTCACTTCCAGAATCTCCTGTGCTCCTGCCTCCGCCCGGCACGGGGCTTCCCAAGCCATGGCCACGTAACTCTGCGGCCCGCCCACCGAAGTGATCACAATGCACCCGCCTGTGAACGGCACCCCATCATCTTGGCACTTAAATGAGTTTAGTTTCCAATATCAGCTGTAAAGCCGAGTGCATACATTTCCACTGAAACTGCTGGAATCCGCGCACGGGATCGAGCACATGCGGAGGGGAATTCTCCCTGTGTCTCGGCCGCTCTGCTTCTACGAATGTTCCTACAGACACAGGGCTGGCGGGAGGAGAAACGCCACGCGCAGCGTCACCCACGGCCGTGTCTTCATTAGCCCACGCCGAAGCCTCTCCGAGTCCACGGAGGCTGGAGACGTGAGCGAGGGCGCAGTCCTTCGGTGAG